CATTGGCAAAGACAATGTGTATGTGAACTTAGCTTCGTGTGAAATGCTTGATAGTATAAAGTGGTGGAGGCCTCCACGTTGTACATAGGACATAGTGTGGTCTCAATGGTGTGACAATATCGATCTCTCCAAATACCTGTCTTCATTTCTAACTAGCTTGATTTATATTCATGGACAAAAGACTAGACGAATATATACCAAATTTTTTTTTGTAACTAGTAGGGCATAGGGAGTTTTTATTTTTGATCTTCGTGTTTTTCAGTGCTTAAAATTTTTTCTAAAGGAAAAAGTGTATTCTTAAATACTTTTTCACCTAGCTGGTCCTTTTGTTACTGGAACAAGGCACACGTACCTGAACTCACATGAACACACACACAGTGTCAAAGGTTCTGAATGGGGAATTACTCCCCTCTTTCTTCTTTGCAACACTTCCAGGCCCCACTGCCTTGACATGCCTACTGTTAGAATTATTTGTATCTACTTTTTAAGGTTGTTACCATTAAATATTTATACCAAGAATGAAAAGCTTAGCAGCAAACCAAGGGGTTCAAGCCACATGTGACAGGATGAACCTCTACTCTGCGCCACCTGGTGTCTGGACTTGAGAATTGCAGGCTCAGCGGGGCCCCATCTTTTTCCAGAGAAGGCAGAAATATCCCAAATTTCAAAAGTTAGCAACTAACGAGTGATGGTCTAACCACTATGCTGTACACTTGAAGCAAATGTAATAATATGGAAAGTAAGCTGTAACTGAAAATGTTGCAACTAACTAATAAGACCTTATAAGTAATATCTGGACCAAGTAGAATGCATCTGAGGAGCAGTTTCCATAGCTTTGTGGCCTCTGCTTTAAGAACTAAGCGTCGAGTGCTCGTCCTTAAATCGTCAACCTTGAACACTGTACGGTGATGAGAAATGAGGAATTTTGTTCACATACTTTCCCTCCTCGCTTTTATTAGTTATCTTACTGCTGGTTCTACCAGTGGCCTTTGTGAGTTTACATATTTATACTCCATTAAAAATTTTTTATCAGCTTTCAACAGCATCTACAGTGTAAGAGGAAGAGAGCATTCTTTTCAAAACCTCTTTAGTGCTCAGAATTGCTCTTTATTCTGTATCTGCAACATCCCAGCCAGTTTACATGCACTCACTCGTCATTCAACAAATATTTGTTGAGGGTCTAGTTATGCGCCAGGTGCTGTTCTAAACTTGGGAAAATGCAGTGGCAACCAAAACAGGCCAAATACTCTGCTGTTGTGGAACTTACATGGTAGCAGGGGGCGTGGATAACGAGTTTACTGGTCGGTGAGACAGAGAGTGTGTTAGATAGAGAGTGGCAGGGGCCAGGATGGAGCAGCGAAGCAGGGAGCGACGAATGTGAAATGTCAGTGTGTGTGTGCACATGTACATGTACCATGCATTTATGTGTACATGTGTGTGTGCACGTGTACCTGTGTGCATGCACATGTGAGCATAAACTTTTAGCTATGGGGCCAGGGAGGGTCTCCCTGAATAACAGGAAGACATAACATACAAGTATGTGCCAAGTGCGCAGTCTCACCACCAGGCTCAGAAAGAGCTGAGGGTGGGCGGCCGAGTGTGTGGGAGGTGCTGGGAGGGAGAAAAGATGGGGCCAGAGAGGCGAGCAAGGAGGGCCTGAGGAGTGGGGACAGAGGCTCCCCGAGGAAGGCGGGAGCCTCGGGGAGCTCAGCTCAGAAGAGCGACATGGGCTGACTCAGGTTTTTGAAGGGTCCCCTGGCTGCGGTGTGGAGAATTGGCGAGGGGCAGGGAGAGACGCAGGGAGACTGTTACGCCGATGTTGTTGCTGCAATCTAATCTAGGTGAGAGGCGGTGGTCGTGGCAGCGATGGTGAGGGAAGAGGTGATGAGAAAGGTCAAGTTCAGCTGAGCCCGGAGAATTTGCTGACAGATTGGATGTGAGCAAAGGAGAAGGAAGAGCTGGGCGTGCCTCCAAGGTTTTGATCCAGCTTGCGTCATCTGTCATCAGAGATAAGATGTTAGGCAGATATACACCAAGTTGTTGTTAGTGATTATATTTCAGTGATAAGGTGTGGGTGGCTTTTATTTTTACCTGTTTCTAACTACTAACTATTTTAAAAGCAAAAACTGTATTATTATTGTTGTTGTTGTTATTTTAGGGTTTTTAGGCATGGCAAGGGTGTACTCAGTAGGCAGTAAAAACACTTCCTACTTGGTTAGATTTTGTATTAGTCAGCACTTGCTGCATAACAAGCAACCCTATAATCTTCAATTAGCGTTCTTTCTCACTTTCAGATATGTGAGCTGCCCGGTACAGCTGTTCACCTGGCTGAGGTCAGGTTCAGGGGTGTAACAAGTTTGCCATTCTAGAGTCTGGGTTAGAAGGGCCGAGGTCTGTGTTATGGTAGATGTTGGAAGTTCCCAGAGGCGTGAGAGGAAACACCCAATGCCTCTTAATCTCTAGGCTGGGAACCCGCAACTTGTGGCTTCAGCCCACATCCTATTGGCCAAAGCAAGTCATGTGGACAAGAACAGCATCATCGAGGCCACAGAGTATACTCTGCTGGGGGGAGGGGGGAGTAAATAGTTACTGAATAATCATCTAATACACCACAGCTTCAATTTGATCTTTATTGCTTGTAACAGTTTTACTAAGACTTTTCAAACCTTTGTTACACATTTTGTGTTTATTGCTGAAACTTTTGACAATCCAGAGAGATATTGATAACCAAAATAAAATTCCTTCTTATTCTACTACTTAGAGATAAACGCTGGTGGTATTTGGTTGAGTGACCACTTAGAGTAGAAAATTCACGGACATCCCAGATCAGGGTGGGCTGCATCGTTGCGACAACCATGACCACTGAGCACTGGGCTTAGAGTTGGCTTCTGGAAAGTCAAAGAGACAGTCACCCAGCCGTGAGTCCCCAGGGGTTCTGTCATCAGGGTGATTCCAGCCATCTAACCAATGAAACACACACGGTGTGTCATTCACCTTCTACATCTAACTTAGAGGTTTGGAAAAATCTCTTTCTTGCTTTAGATATTGAAACTGGATTGAGCAGCTTAACATAAATGCAATGTTTATTATCGCGAGAATAACATGCTACAGAGAGAGCTTTTGGGTTCAAGTCTCAGGAACCAGCATCCCAGCCTGTCCAATCAGGAGAGCTGGGGTGGCACCGGACCCTGAATCTGGAAGGCATCAGCAACGTTGTAGGTCCACACCCAGCGGGGACACACACACAGGCTGTGAAAGCCACTGGCTGTATGTGCGATAACACTCATTAGAGCCTCAAATATTGTCCCAGAAAAGAAAGGATTCAAATGAACAGTAAGAGAGGCTGTGTAAAGTAAATACTTTAGGGAGACCTGAATCTGGGACAACAAATGTTTTAATACAATTTTAATACAAAGCAGAGCTAAAGAGATGAAAAAATCATCCTGAAAATTGTGTCATATTTTGGTGGGCTGCCATTCACCTCATTAAATAAAACAATTTTTTAAGAATTAAATTTGATTTTGTTATTCCACTTCATTTGGAATACGAAGCTTTCAATGTAACCAACCACCTACTTGGGACTTGGGAAATTTTTGCATCTTGTGAGGATCCATTAAAAGCAGAATGTCAGCTTTTCCACTTCAGATTTCACGAGGAGGAAAAACTCCAAACCCATGTACCAAACCGTCCATGAAAATTCTTGTCTACCCTGGACAGGACCCAGCATGTGGGGGTCTGGAAACACTTTCAGAGCAGGGTGCTGGGAAAATTTGGAGCCTCATGTTGAAATTCCACCCTACCTCCTCTGCCACAGATGAGAAAATATTTGCTCTGGAAAGCAAAAGGAGCAAATATGGAAACTGAGTCTGGCCCTGCATCAGAGCAGGGTCCCGGGCAGCCCTTGGGCACAGGAGCCCTGCCCACACCTGGGGGGGAGTTTCAGGGGATCCCCACTCTCTATGGGTGTGCTGCCCTTTACAGCTTGGAAAGTGATTTCCCATCTGGTACCTCAATCAGTTGTTCTCAGACTTTTGAGGTAGGACCTGCGGGTGCCCCCATTTTACAGATGAGGAAACGGAGGCTCAGAGAGGCAAAACTGGCAAGTAGCCGAGGCAGAACTCAAACCCGGTGTCCTGACTGCTCACGTGCGCTTCTGAGCCCCCTCCCCTTTGGGCCAGGTCACCTTCTCTCTGTGTAGCCCATCACCCCCTGCAGCTCCCTTCAGATCTTTTTTGTGCCAGGGAACCCCACGATCCTCAATCACATCGGAACTGAGACGTAAGTAAACCCCACGGTGAACACCAGGGCAGATCACCCATCTGCGCAGCGGGTGGGAAGGCAAATCACTTTAAGGAAAAGCTCTCAGTGAGTAGTCTGTGTCCTGCAGCACGGTGAACAACACGCAGGTGCTGAGTGCGGGGCACGTTTGTCTGAAGGGGCTAAGCAGGGACCAGGGACTGAAGTGGTTCCGGGTTATCGGGGAGAAGAATTTCCCAGCATCCACCCTGCAGATCAGTGAACAGACCCCATCTCTTTCCTGATTGGCCCTAAAGACCTCGGCGTACCTAGTAGGTACCCCAAATTAAAAATAACTTTTGATGCCCCCCTTTCTGAACTGCCTCCTGGCCCTCGCCCTCATTATCCTCATCATCATTTTGAGCACCTACTATGAGCTCGGCCTTGAACTAGTTGTGGACACAGAGCATCTCTCCACAGTAAGTGTAATGGGGAGAATCCACCCAAAGGCTATAAAAGCATTTCTCCTAGGCTGACAGGAGAGGAGAATCGGGAGAGGCTTGGGAGTCCCTGGGGAGGGAATTGGATTTAAAGGGGCCCCAAGGACAGATTTTAGCTGGTAAGTGTCGAACAACTGCTCCCCAGGGGAAAAAGTGTGTGTGTGTGTGTGTGTGTGTGTGTGTGTGTGTGTGTGTGTAAATCTTCCTGGAATGAAGAATGTGTTTGTCGCACAAAATGAACACATTTACAAATAATAAAAACACTTTTCTGAAAATACTCTTTATTATAAATTCCATACCACCAATGAATTCTCACAGAATGTTTATTAATTTTTTGCCAAACTCCTGTCCGCACGAACAGCTGTGACGGCCAGGGAGCCTTGGCCCAACAAAAGCAGACTACGGACAACTGTGGACAACAAGCTCAGCGGGAAGCCGCTCACAGCTGTGGCTCCCACACGGATGGACGGACAGACGGACTGATGCTGGTGCACTTTCTGCTCACGCCAGTGAGCCGGACGGGAGGGAAACAGCGAAGGTGGAGGTCGGCGCTCCGCCGTCACTGACGTGGGCAGCGTGCTGGCTGGACCGGATACCGGCTCCCATCCTGGGGCAGCATTTCCTCAGTTCTTGGTGCCACTGCCAAGGCAGCGGCTTTAGACACAATGGGCACAGATTTAAGTTTAATTGTCACATTTAACATTGTAGCCATTGTGTTCTGAGGACTGTGAGACCAACACGATAAACCGGGCCTGGATTTGTAATGCTCCCTAATCTCTGTGGTGTGAATGCACTCCCCACGGCCAGTTTCAAGGGACCGATGGGCCGTCATTGAAGGCGGGGCCAGCAAGAAATGGGGCTCAGTCTCTCCCCTGTGTCCCTCCCACGATACAAAAGATACAAATAACTTCGAGAGCACAGGTCATAGTAAACTTGGGGTAAAATAAGGAAGTGATGAGTTTTTAGTATGTACCTCCTTTGTTTTTAATACAGTTTATTTCATTATACGTTTAAGGAATTTAATTTCTTTTAATGGCCGTGTTTAACAACCAGCTTGCAAAGATCCTGGAAACTGAACAATCAGCTCTAACACGCCAGTCCAAGCGGGCTCCGGCATGCCACTGGGTCTAGGGGAAGTACAGACGCCCCAACTTAAAACAGTTCAACTTGTGATTTTCTGACTTTGCAGTGGTGTGAAAGCAATACCCGTCTGTACTTTGAATTCTGACCTTTTCCCGGGCCAGTGATATGCCGTATGATACCCTCTCGTGACACTGGACAGTGGCAGCGAGCCTCAGCTCCCAGCCCGCCACTCCATCGCGCGGGTAAACAGCCAATACTCCGAGGTGTATTCGTTTTGTCAGATGACTGTGTCCAGCAGGAGGCTAATTGGTGCAAGTGTTCTGAGCATGGTTAAGGCAGGCTAGGCTAGGCTGTGGTGTTTGGTAGGTGAGGTGTATTGAATGCATTTTTGACTTTATAATGGGTTCACTGGGACGTAAGCATGTCGTAAGTCAAGGAACATCGGTTTCTAGAAAGGAGAGGGGAGGGGTTGAGGGACCAGAGTCCTGGGGGGCTGCATCAGCACCCAGGTGGGCAGGCACGGTGACGAGGCCTCGCCCAACGCCAGCACCCGGGCCTACTAGCTCTTCATTCTCAGCATCCAGGAACTCCTTGCCAGTCCCTTCCTCTGCCAGTGGCCTCTGGGCTGAGCGACCTGTTCGATCTCTATCTGACTCACCTGTTGGGGAACAACCCTTTACAACGTCCCGAAGGTGGGGGCCTGGGTACTGGGGTGAACAGACGGCCCCCCACTCCCTGACTAGCTGAATGGGACCAGCTGAAGACCTTCCTGCAGGGAGACAGGGTGACATACAGCCCTGCGGGCATGATCCCCCACCAGACAGAAGGGGCAGACCCTGGGGCTCGAGGGAGCTGTTTCTCACCCAAGGCCTGCAGCTGCCAAGAGGTGCAAGCAGCACTGACAACCAGGTTTGTCGGCCGCCAAAGCATCTTTCTGCACGAAAACCCAACCAGCACCATCCTGGCAGCTCGTTCCGTGCTCTTGGACTTTAGCGCACACAGCTCTGGACTGCTCTTGGCCTCTCCGCTGATAAAACCTCCATCCCCCAGAGAGGCGATGTGTGACATGAGACCAGGGCCTGTGTTGAATATCTGTTGTAGTACCAGCATTTAGAATCCCAATCCACCAGTGTCAGAAGAGATCTTAAGAACAACCTGGTCCAGGTGCCCCACTCTACATATGGGGAAAACTGAGGCCCAAAGTCACAGAGCAATGTCACCAGTGGAATCGGGACTAGAACCCAGGCCTCCTGTCAACCAGCCTGGGCTGCTGGTGAATGGCAAATGTTCTGGGGAAGAGAATTAGGGGGGTGAACAAAACTGATCTCTAAAAGCCAAAAAAGCAGGCTTCCCCCTCACTGAGAAGTCCCAGCCAGATGAGAAAAGAAAGCGGAGAATACGGTATCCTCAGCTGGACTTAGGGGTGATACCAGGAGGGACTTCCTGCCAGGGCTGGTGCCCCAGAAATTCTTTGAGAAAGCCCAGGGAACAGGGGAAACGCGATAGGATGCTCTCACTGTAAGTACTGCAGAGACGTGCAGAGTCAGTGGAAAAACCGAGGCAAGACGGCAGCTCCTCAGAAACCCTCAGCGCCTGAGACTGAACATGAAGACTTCTGGGTTCTCAGACTTTCGTCCTTTCCACCCTAGCACACAAGACCTCCTCTGGAGCGGGAGTCAGTCTCAAAGGACCACCTAGGACTTGAGCTCTGGGGCCCAGGCGAGCGGGGAGCTGGAGACAGTCTGCTAAAACCATGGTTCCGGCGTTTTCTCAGCAGATGGACTCCTCAGGAGGCCACAGAGACCTTCATGCGGCTGTATTGGATGCCAGCTGTGCTCTGCCTGTGGCCAAAGCTCAGGGCGAACCTGTCGAGCAGAGGTGAGTAGTCAGGGGGTGGCAGGGCCTGGGGGCCTTCCTGGAGGAGATGGGAATGGAACACCCCCCGGGACCCCTCATCCCATCCCCGCCCCGCTCCTACCTGCCCCTTCCTACTTCCTGCCTTGATATGCATTTCCACCTTCTGAATTTCCCGACTACTCCTCTGGGTCTCCCTGTGCCTGCCCTTGCCTATTTCGTTGGCTTGCCTAGTTTCCGTCCCTCTCCCCCACTAGAGTGGAAGCTTTGTGAGGACAAGGCCTTCTCTATCTTATTCTCAGCCACATAGCCTATGGCCCAGGACACTGCCTGGCACATAATAGGGGATTCATAAATAACCACTGGCCCTGGCTGGTGTGGCTCAGTGGACTGAGTGCCGGCCTGCGAATCAAAGGGTGGCCGGTTGGATTCCCAGTCAGGGCACATGCCTGGGTTGCTGGCCAGGTCCCCAGTAGGGGACGTGTGAGAGGCAACCACACATTGATGTTTCTCTCTCTTTCTTTCTTCCTCCCTTCCCCTCTCTAAAAAAATAAATAAAATCTTTTAAAATATATAAAGAAATGTCCACTGAATAAGTGGATTAAACCCATAGTTCTTTGCATGAGGTTTTAAAAGGCCGCAGTCATAATGTTTGGTTTCGCCCAGCTTCCACGACTGGAAGATTCTCTGGTTTTAGAGAGTCTACTCTTCCAGCCTCTGGATATTCCACAATTGCACAATTTAAAGGTTTAATCTGGGCTTATAGTCAAAGGAAACCCTGCTGTAGAAAGATACAAAGGCAGCTCAAGGACACATAAAGACGGGGGAAAATGCACAGGGTCCGGGCAGTAGGAGAGGCAAGCGGAAGAGATACACGCTCTCTAGCAGAAGTCCCACAGTGGAGCGCTGGGGTTCGATGGGACTCTCCCCCCACGCCCGCCCTGTCCCCCTTACCGCCGCCTCTGGAATTGCTGGTCTATCTCTGCCAGCGACTGGCCTTTCGTTTCAGGGACAAATAAGTAGATGAAGCCCAGACCAAGGACCGCGGTCAGCCCGTACAGCAGGAAGGTCCAGGAGAGGCCGATGGTGCCTGGGAACAGGGGGGAGGGAGTGAGGGCAGCGCGAGGCCAGCTAGCTGGCTGGTTCCAGGTCGCACGGGGAAAGTCGGTTCACCTACACAGGGTTCTCCAGACGGTCGATTTGCAGAAAGACCTTCAAACAGGAGTAGGACTCGCTGTCCCAGAGATGGGCAAAGGGTCAGGGCTCAGACCACAAACCCTGACAAGGGTATTTTGTCTTTTCTAGGGGAAGCCCGCTCACCCACTCAAAAACTCTAGCAGGGGAGTGCGCTCGGGATCTGAAAACATGAACGGAGGGAAAGCAACAGTCCCCTCAGCAGCGAACCAACTGCAGGACGCAGGCTTGGCAAAGCCCAGCTCCGAAAAGAATCCTCGCTATTTATCTGACACCAGTTTTCCTTTGGGGAACGACTCCGCGCCCGCTTCTGGTCCACTAGCCCGTGAGGCTGTCTCCATCCCCCCCCACCCCCATCCCAGCCCCTCGGTGGGTATAGGACCCAGGCCAGGAACCTAGGGTATGGAGACAGCCCTCCAGCCACAGTGATTGGTTCAGGGGTGGGCATGTGATCTTGCTAAGCCAATGAGAAGCAGTTTCAGGTCTCGGGGAGGAGCCACTGACAAAGAAATGCTCTCTTTCCAGGGGGCTGCCAGTTGGAGGAGATCTGCTGGCAGTCGTCTCCCCACCCCGAGGCGTCTGCCTGAGAATGAAGCCCACGGTGTGGGAAGCAAGCAGAGTGGAGAGAGATGAAAGATGGCCACAGTCGTATTGGAGCTTCTGGATCAGCCATGCTTGAAGCTGACGGCCCTCCTTACAAAAATATTCCCTTTGGTTCATGAACTGGCTTGCAGCAGGTTTTCTGTCATTTATACCCGGACCAATAAGGAAGCCCTGGAGCTGTCGGGGGTGGGCGGGGGGGGGGGCTGGGTGGGTGGCGGGCGGCATTATTCCTGCATCTAGAAGGAACTGGACCAAGGAAGTAGGTCAAGAGGACTCACCGATGAGGTCGAGGAAGGAGAGGCTGATGAAGAGGTTGGCGGCCCAGTTGAAGCTGTTACAGAAGGCGAAGGCCCTCCCTCGGATCTCCGCGGGGTAGATCTCGCTGAGGACAAGCCAGGTCACTAGGACAGGAGGGCAGGGAGGGCTCCTGGGCTGGGGCCAGGGTGGGGCCGGCGCCTGCACCCACAGGCCAGCAGACAGCCTCCCACCAGTGTGATTCACACAGAGGCAGGCTCCTGCCACCACATTCTCCCCGCTGCTTCCCGACCCGCCTGTAAGGATCCCTTTAGCGTGACCAACAGTCAAGGTTTCCCCAGGACGGACGAGGGTGCCGGGGACACAGGAGTTTCAGTGTCTTGGGCAAACCGGGATGGTTGGTCACTCTATTCATTAAATTCCCTCCAAGTAACATCTTTTGAATGAGCTAGCTATCCAGAAGCTAATTCAGGTGTTATGAAGCCTGAAGCTTTAACGATTTGGGGGCTTTTTTTCTTTTTAGTAAAAAAGATAAAACCAGGCCCCTGCCCTCCAAAGGAGTGTCTTCGAATGAGTGAGGGGCCCTGAAGCTAAAGCTTCACTGGCTTTACAGTCCAGGCCCCTCTAGTGTCCCTTCTGAGACCCCTAGGGACACCGTCCCCCAGCTTACCCCTGGGAAAGGCAGAAAGCTGCGTGACCTGCAGGAAACGCCCACCTACCTGGTCCAAATCCGAAGGAGAAGGCGCTCACGAAGAGCATCATGCAGACCAGCGCCGTCCAGTGCATCAGGGCTCGCCCGGCGGCAGGAGGAGGCGGTGCCTGGGAGGCGGAGCTTAGGGCTGTCCCAGGAGGGGTTGTGGGGTCCCCCGCTCTGGGGTGGCGCCTGGTTTTCTCGGAGGTTGATGAGACTGGCTGCCCTTGGTTCTTGCTGGTGATTGGCAGTGGATGTGAAGACAATCCCATTGGCTGGTCCTCGTCTCCAGGGAGGTTTGCTAGCCCGGTGGCATTGGGCATGGCCAGGCAACTTGGGCCTGAGTCCATGGGCACGGCAAAGCTGACGAGGCCTATGCCGCTGACCGACAGGGCCATCAGGGCACAGCCAGCTAGTAGCAGGGCCCTGCGGCCCGCTCGGTCCACAAGCCCCATGGCAGTCAGGGTAGCTGCCACCTTGACAGCGCCCAGCCCCACTGAGGCCAGCACTGCGGAGGATCCCCCGCGGAAGCCGACCGAGTGAAAGATGGTGGAGGCATAGCACAGCACGTTGGGCTGCCCTGTTAGCTGCTGGAAAAGCACCAGCCCCAGCCCCACGGTGGTCCGGCCTCGCATGTTATCCCGTTCCCTGAAGAGGTCCAGAAAGGAGTATCTTGGCCTCCCCGGGCCCAGCTTGGTGGCCTCGCCTCCCTGGAGGGGGATGAGGTCCCTGTGAGCCTCGGCCTCATCTGTACCAGCAGGGAGGACGAGGAGGCTGAGGGACTGCAGGACCGCAGGGGCAGCGGCCCAGCCGAACATATGCCGCCACCCCCGGGGGACACTGGCCAGGGCGTAGTTGAGCGCGTAGGAGAGCAGGATGCCTACGGTAATGCCTGCCTCGTAGAGGGACACCAGCACCCCCCGCTGCCTCGGCCCCACCAGCTCTGATACGTAGATGCAGCAGGCCATGGAGGAGAGGGAGATGGCAAAGCCGGCCGCCGAGCGGCCCAGGACCAGCCAGGCCAGGGAGCCAGCCAGGCCCAGGCTCAGGCTGCCTGCCAGCAGCACCGCGTTGCTCCCGAGGATGGCGCGTTTCCTGCCGTAGCGATCGATGAGGAAGCCCCCTACCAGGGAGGCGAGGAGAGCCCCCAGGAGCAGGCTGCCCACCAGGAACTCCTGCTCCAAGCAGCTTAGCCCGAAGTCTAGTTGCAGCGGCAGCAGCGCACCCGATATGATGGCCAGCTCATAACCAAAGGTCAAGCCACCCAGCAAGGACACAGAGGCACACAGGGGCAGGAGGGGGGGTGGATGGCCTGGAAAACAAAAGTGACAGGGATTGGGGTCAGAATGGTTCCTTGCCCAGAGCTTCTACCCATCCAACTCCACTCCATCTGTCAGTTTCTCCATCCATTCATCCAGCTACTCCATCCGTCCACCCACTCATTTATTTATCCACCATCCCTCAAGCCATCTACTCATCATCCACCATCCCCCCACTCCTTTCTGTATCCACCCACCTCTTCATCAGTCTACTCCAGCCACTCACCTCGCTGTCCACTCACTGATTCATCTACCCACCCATCCATCCTTCACCCCCATTCACTCCTTCCTCCATCCATTCACTCCTTCCTCCATCCATTCACTCCTTCCTCCATCCATTCACACGTCTGTTTGTGGATCAATCTACCCACCCCTTCATCACACCCTCCTCCATTAATCCATCGGCTCCACCCACCACATATTCATCCATTGATTTGTCCATTCACGTGCCCCTTCATTCCCACCAACATCGATCCATTTATTGATCCATCTCTCCGCAAATACATCCACTCATCTCTCCATCTTTGTATTCCACCCCTTATGTACCCGTACATGCAAGCACCCCCCCACCCATCCAACTGTTCATTTAAAGACTTATTTATCTGGCCTCTGCCATGCACCAAGCCATATTCTTGGGGCTGGCAATACAGTGGTGTTGTTAAGGACCTGACGTTCTAGTAGAAAAAGGCGGATGATGAGCCAATAAGTATATGCTGTAACTTACACTGCAGGGAAGGGGATCACTGAGAGTGGTGGAGGGGTTCTATTTTAACCAGGGTAGTTGGCTAAGGCCTCTCTGAAGAGGGAAAATTCGAAAAGAGGGTAATTAATGAAATGAGGGTAAAAGTCCCATAAAATCTGGAAGAAAAACATATTCTAGACAGAGGGGACAGCAAGAACCAAGGCTCTGAAGCAGGACAGGTTTGGAGATGTTTGAACCATCACTATTAACATGAATAGCTAATGCGTATATGGCACTTACTAAGTACCAGACCCTGCTTTAGGAGCTTCGCATGTGTGTGCCCACTTAACTCCTCGTTTACAACGCTGTTACACATTATTATTAGCGTCATCCTCCAAGGCATGGAGAAGCTAAGAAAGTCTCTCATGGCCACACAGCAAGCGTGTGGCAGCACTGATGTAGCTAGAGAGCCCAGGCTTGTAATCCTGTACCGTTCAGCCAGGAGGCCAGAGGGGCTGCGACACAGCGAGCGGGAGCGAGGAGAGAGGAGCAAGAATGAGAGGAAATGAGGAGGCAGGAGAAGTAAGCAGGGGCCGGATCAGGTGGAGCCACGAAGGTCATGGGGACGACGATGAATTTCGCCACCGGCGGTGGAAGTGTTTCCAGGCTTGAGCTGGGGAGAGAGACGATCTAGGACAGTCACCAGCACTGTGGATATCGAGCACTTGAAACCTGGCTCACGTGATTAGGGAACGGAATTTTCATTGTATTTAATTTCAATTAATTTAAATGTAAAAACAGGCACTGGTGCTGGAGGCTACCATGTCGGCAGTTCAGTTATACAGTTGCCTTTGATTTTTTAAAAAAGATTTATTCATCTGTTTATTTTTTAGAGAGGGGGGAAGGGAGGGACAAGGAGGGGGAGAGGACCATCAACTGCCTCCTGTACACGCCCCCACGGGGACACGGCCACAGCCCAGGCGTGGGCCCTGACCGGAAATCGAACTGCCGACCCTTTGCCTTGCAGGACGACACCCAACCAACGGAGCCACACCGGCCAGGGCTACTTTGAATTTTTAATTCACACATTTAAACTTCAATATTTCTGGAAGTATCTAGAGTAATCCGGCAGTGTCTGTCTCACCCCATGCCCTTCGTGAGCCGGCCCAGCCGAGCCACCCAGACCTGACCACGGCATCCATAACACCATACCCAGACCTACGGAGTGTTTGCTCCAGACCAAACGAGTTCACGCACTTAAAGCGCTGCTCTGGGAGCTGTAAGAGCGATAACTCATTTGCTTCTCACCACAACTTTTTGAGCTGGGGTTCTGTATTATTTATGAATGAAGAAACAATCAGAGAGGTGACGTGATTTGCCCACGGTCAAAAGCAGTGAGTAGCTGTGCCTGGATTCGAAGCCAGGACATCTGGCTCCACGGTCCGTTCTCTTCGCCACTCCATTAGAAAACCTCGGCATGACACGATTTCAATCTGTCATCTCTTTTTTCTGCCTCTCCTCGTCTCTGTTAGGCAATATTTGTGCAGGGGGAGGAGTTTCATGGGTGGAAGAATGCCCCCTCTTCTGCTCAGCCTTCTCCCCATCACTTCTGCCCCCCGAGGGAAATAACCTCCTGCGTTCACCGGCTGGCCTCGGCCCACCTGTTCACGACCATCAGCAAACACTCTGGGGGGATTGTGCTGCCCAGGTGCTGGCCCCGCGTCACCCCCTCGGTTCTTGGGAGTTCGCAGCCAGAAAGGGAGGTCCTTCCAGTCGACATGAGGCAATCAAGTGGAAGCACAGAATCTGTTTGCCACATCCTGGGTTCCTCTTGAGGTGAAAGGGAACCAAGCCAAAGGGTTCAGAGGCAACGTTGACTGTCTACAGGTTTTCCTGGAAAATGCATCAGAGCAGATTCTAGTCACGGTGGTAAGAGAACAGCAAACATACACATGAAATGGAACAGTCGTAGTAAGTCGTCAGTTAGTGAGTATCTCCTCTATGCAACTGTAGGCGCCTTCTTCAATTCATCTTTGTAACAGTGCTAGGTGGTGCAGCTCCGGTTACCCCCATTTTGCAGATGAGGAAACTGAGGCTCCGAGTGTCCTCACAGCTGAGAAGCAACAGGATCAGGACTGAAACACCGACCCATCTGACTCCCGAACCTACATACTTAAGAGCTTTGCTAAACTGACTTGAAGCAAGAAGGGCTGATCAGAGACAGGCGGGGTGTGAGAGGGAGCAGGGACACAGCGGGTAGAAGGGGAGGGGAGGGAAGCTCTCAGGAAAACCCTGTGTCACGAAACATGGGGAAAGGACACTGTCCCAGCGGCCACAAAGGGCAGTCTCAAAGGAGTCGGGGCCATGAGACATCATTCCCACAAGTCTTCCTCAACTTTCCAAGCCACATTTTTCACTGCCAACCAACTCTGCATTCTCCGTGTGCTTATGCCATATTGCAAGTTCATTGATGTGTCCTCCTTATGAAATTGGACAGGACAGGACAGAGACACTGTCTCTGTGTGTCCAGGGGTTGGAGGCGGGGGAGCCCAGCTTCACCCTGACACCCAAAAGGGGCTGAATGGGGTTTTTGCTGAAAGAACCAGTGATGGAGTTGGGGACCAGGGTGGGACCACCATGTGGCATTCCAGGGGCTGTGTCAGGGACATAGGGACCTGATCTAATGCTACTCAGCAACCCCAGGGATCCTGTGACAGCCTGAGTCAGATGGTGTCATGCTGCTCAGAGCCCTCCAAGGCTCCCCCTTCCCTCTGAAAACAGCCAAGGTCCTCACAGCGACCTTCGAGGTCCCACAGCATGCGCCCCCTCTCACTCTGCTCCTCCGGTCACGCCAGCCTCCTTGCTGCTCCTCCTCACTGCAAGCACGTCCCCACTCAAGGCTCTTTTCCAGCTCTCACCTCTGACGGGGAGCCTTCCCCTCCGGGCCAAGGGCTCCTCCCCTCCTCCCCTCTGCTCTTCGATCACACATCACCTTCTCCTGAGCCCTCCCCTGGGCCTCTACTGACAATCACAACCTCCCCATAGCATCCAGCACTTGTATCCCCTCTCCCCGCTTGTTTTTTTTACCTCCACGATACTCATCACCATCTGAAATAACTATATGTTTTACATATTTGTTGTTCTCCTCTACCAGAATGTCAGCCCCAAAGAACAGGAATTGTTTGTTTGGCTGTCTCCCTGATGCTGAGGACAGTATGTAGCATATAGTAGGCACTCAATAAATACTCTTTAAATAAATGGATGAATGAATGAATGAACTCTGGGGATGCAGGAAGTTCAGAGAGAAAGGATCTTGGCTCTTGAGCATCTGGCGAGGTCCAGGGCCTGGAAGGAGCCATGGGCAGGAATAGAGCAAATCCTGGCCCCCAAATTAGGGCTCTGGAGCTGGCATTGGTGGGCAGTTGGGCCGTTACCCTGGGCATGAGAGGCTGGGTGGTACAGGGGTCAAGAATGCAGACAGGAGCCAGAGTGCTGGGGTTCTATCCCAGCTTCTCTTCTTTGCAACCGTGACCCTGTGCAGCTCACTTAACCTCTCTGGGTCTCCCCATCCATACAGGAGGAAAATAGTACTACCTGCCTCGTGAGCCTGCCTACCTTATAGCCGGTGCTAGCGAGTATGATTCTCCACAGAACAACACAGAGTTTTTAAAACACAATTCAGGTCATGTCCCACTCAAGCTTAAAACCCTTCTCTCCCTTCTTATGCCATTTGGAATAAAAGCCAAGCTTCTCACTATAAACTACAAAACCCTGCATCATCCAGCCCTTGCCCAGCCCTCTGACTCTCCCCTTGCCCACTGTGCTCCAGCCACACTGCCCTGGACCACACGAGCTCGCTGCTGCCTCGGGGCCCTTGCCCTTGCTGTTCCTTTAGTCTGGAAGGCCCTCTCTCAGATCTTAGCAAACCCACTTCTTTCGAGTCTGAGGCTTGTGCTGTCTCTCACCACCCAGCCAAAAAGCAGAGATGGGGGGTTGGAATAATTGCGCTTGTATTAATCTCAGAGGCCAGCAATCTGAGAAGGTGGCAGGTAAAAACCCTAACACCCACCTCTCCTTGAGCTTTCAGAGGCAGGTTTACACAGGGGGAACGTGGGAATTGGGGAGGGGGGAATTCCAAGGAGAAGCACAGACATGCGGTGTCTTTGGAGATTAAGGTCAGGGGGAGCTGAAAGGGGCTTCTGCAGCTTCTTCCCAGGCTGGCTCCCTTTGTTCTGAGTTATCTCTCCGTTTGCCTCAGCCTTCCTCTCTTCCCGGACACCTGCGGTTTAAGGCCAGGGAGGGTATGTGTCCTGTGGTTAGGGAGGAGTGGTATAAACCATTTGTTTTCCTGTGTCCTCCTTAGGGGAGATAAGGTTAGGGGAGATAAGGTGTCGTGATTCACCAGGTGGCTGTAAATTGCTCAAACTGATGGGCCTTCTTTCATTTCCTTGTCTCAGTTTCCCCATTCCACTTGCCCAGGAATTTTCCTAGGTCCTACTATCTGTCTCAATACCTCAGCTCCAAAGCCTCCTGGGCCCGGAGGCCCTCCCTTCCTGCTTAGCTAAAGAACCTGCCTCCCTCCCCGCTGTCACACCACCTCATTCTACGTGTTCCTCTGAGTCCCCAGTGTCTGCCACACGGTAGGTGAATGAATGACAGAATGACCCTTTGAGGCTCTGAATCCAGAGAAAAATGCAAAAAGCCTTGGTCCCTGTAGCAGCAACAAAGAAATTCCCTACACCCCCACACAGTGCCTCGTTCTACTCCCCTCTGTCGCTGTTCTGTTGGATTATTTCCAGAGCAAGGGTTTCGTCCGCTTGCTCACCGCAGCATCCTCAGCCCTGGTGAACAGAGGTGTTCGGGTGAATTGATTAATGGATTTTGCTCCTCGTGGAGCCTCTGTCTCTGCATCTGCAGAATAGAACGATTTCACTTGCCTGGGCCTGTTGTAAGGCTGGAAGCGGATAAGAGAGGGCCTGGCCCAAGTGAGCGCTCGATATTAAGAAAGGAGCCCTCCCAAGTCACTTTCATCTGGGCAGAAAGGAGCTTGGAAGGAAGTTCGCGCAGATCCCTTCCCAGGCCCCAGGCAAGGCCTGGTGTGCGGGGCTCGCCGCCCGCCCGAGTGGGCGGTATCTCGTCAGGGGGTGCAGCAAGGGGCGGAGGGGCACGCACTTTTGGGGTCTCGGGGACTCCCCGGCGGGAAGCGCCTGATCGCGACTTACCCATGGCGAGCAGGACACCCAGGCGTGCTGCTGGCGCTGAGGAGCGGGGAGCGCATCCCCGGGCCGGTGTCCCCACAGTGGCCGCCGACAAACTTTCTGGCCGGCCCGCCTCCGTCCCTCCCTTTCTGCCCGCCCGCCCCTAGCGCCGCTGCCACGTAGGCCGGCCCTGGCCCCCTGTGTCTGGAGGCGTGAGAGAGGGGCGCCGGAGCCAGGCTGGGAGCCCCACTCGCTGTCCTCCCGGGCTGCTGCCCGTTGCCACCCCGGTTGGGGGCACACACAGGCGTTCCCCCTCCAACCACCCACCTCCCCCCTCAGGAAAGAGACTTCTCAATTACAGCAGTCCACATCAGTCTGGTCTCCAATGTGTGTACACACACACACACACACACACACACACTCGTGCCTCTACGGTGATGGGGACACACACATATTCACTTCAGCTGCTCACTCTCCCAGGGATTCATCCTTGATTCACTGGACACAGGTTTGGACACCTCCCAAATGACCCCAGGCACTTTGCCATCCGCTTGGGGATGGGCTAGGAGAACCCAACAGATTTGTTTGTTCTTGTGCAATTTGCTTTTTAGTCGGGGAAGAAGAGAGTTAAATAGCAAGCCAGAGAGGTACCAGCTAAGGTGAAGGCAAGGCAGAGAATTAAACTGGGGTGATGGGGCAGGCACAGGGGGACTGCTTCGGCCCAGGGGTCTGGGAAGGCTGCTCCGAGGAGGGCTGAGCCCTCAGGTTCTGGGAAGAAGCAAGAGCAAAGGAACAGCCCTGCTCTTGGAGTATTTAAAACAACAACAACAACAACAACAACAACAACAACAGAAATAAAGCCAGAGTGTCTGGGGCACGGCAGGTGACAGGGAGAGTCTAATCAAGCATTCCAGTAGCATCTTCAACAATGGCTTCCCTTTTGGGTGTGCAGGACCCAGTGACTCATTTCTGACAAACAGAATACAGCAAAAGTGACGATGTCACTTTGGAGATTAGGATGTAAAAGACTTCATCTTGCTTGTCCTCTCCTGATCTCTCACTCATTCACTCTGGTGAAGCTGCCTGCCATGCCATGAGCTGTCCAATGGACAGGCCCACGTGGCAACAAGTGACGGGGACTTCCAGGCAATAGCCAGCAAGGAACCAAGGCCCATGAAGGTATACATCCTGTCACCAATCAAATACTGACACAGGCAAACAGAAAACACAGTCTGTGACAGTGCAAAAGAGAAGAGGTTCATGGGGACGCCAGAACTAATAAAAGTCGATTTTCTCTCTTCTGAGAAGTCAGGAGGGCTTCCCCGAGGAAGTGATATTTGAGTTGAGAAGGAAAGGGCGTCTAGATGGGCTAGGAAACAAAGGGAGGGAAGAGCAGCAGGGAATGGCAGGTGCAAAGACTCTGCGGCCAGAGGGAGCCGGGCAGGAACGAGGAGAGGCAATTGTGCTGGAAGATTCAAGGGCAAAGGGAGTTTGGTGGGAGATGAGTCTGGAAAACAGGACACAGTAGTTCCACACAGGACCTCGCGGGCCTTTAAGTACATGGGGAGCCATTGAAAAGTTTTAAACTAGGTTTCCTGCCATGGAAGCCAGAACCAGTCTGACCATAGCAAGCCTGAGACCTGTAAATATGTTTGCACAGTGGATTTTCCAAAGGCGGGGCTCAGGCAGATTTGGTAACTGTAAGACTAGAAGGTTATGTGGACACTATCAATGAGCGATAACGCAGCCACACACTTGGGAGGCTGGGCGTTACAAATCGTGTTGGTTTTGGGTGGACTTTGAGTAGTCCGGGCTGGTGGAAGTTGCTGGAAACCACAGCATGCCACCACAGAGGGCCTGATGTTTGAACAGGTGACCTGCGCCGAGATGAATGAAGCTGCGGAGCTGAGAGTTGGCGTCACGGGAACCCTAGGACCAACGGGCCTTTTTCTACAGTATTTCCAACAGAGTCCCAATGACAGACAGGCGAAGGAAAATGAATATATGCAAGGAATATATGCAATACAACGCACACCCTCATGGGCAACATCTTCATTTTAATAAGCAATTATCCAAGTAAAACTGATTATCTTCGTAGTGAGAACGATGAAATTGAAACTCAAAGAAATGATTTTTTTGCTGCATTACACAGTGTCAGGCACTTGTGGTTATCTCCTTAATAGTAACGCCCAGCTCCAGGAAAGAACTGAGATTCGGGAAAAAGTTTTTCGTGAGCGGGGCCGCCGTTATCCGGAAAGAGCCGAAGAGCTGGGAGGCGGGGCCCCGAGAGTCTTCTCGAGGTGCTTCGGCAAGAGCCGGAAGGCTGGGAGGCGGAACCACTTCCGCAGGGCGGAAGTGCCTGCGTTTGTTTGGCCGGAGAGAGCCGAGGGTTTCCGGAGCCAGCCGAAGCATCTCCGACGGCCCTCGGGCAGAGTCGAGGGTCGCCGAGGCGCAGTAATGGCGGCCGCCAGTGCTGCGGCGGGCGAGTCCGGCGAGGAACCGGTGGCGGAGGCCGATACGTTGGCCGCGGCACGGGAGCGGAGCAGCCGCTTCTTGAGCGGACTGGAGCTGGTGAAGCAGGGTGCCGAGGCACGCGTGTTCCGCGGCCGCTTCCAGGGCCGCGCGGCCGTGGTGAAGCACCGCTTCCCCAAGGGCTACCGGCACCCGGCGCTGGAGGCGCGGCTCAGCCGGCGGCGGACCGTGCAGGAGGCCCGGGCGCTGCTCCGCTGCCGCCGCGCAGGTGAGACGGCCCGGCTCGGAGACGTGGGGAGGCCCGAGGCTCCGGGGCCTGAGGCTCCGGGGCCAGGGCGACGCGGTTGCGGGAATCACCTGCACCGCGTGCCTTCTGCGTGGCCTTGGGTATTTAAGAAATGTCATCCTTTCCTCCCTCTCTTCATTAATTCTTAAGGGGCCTCTTGGCCTTGCAGCAACGAACATTTGCGCCGTAGCCATTGAGCCTGGCTCAGTTCCAGGATCTGCCACTGTTGCTCGACGTTGAGCATGTTATTTAACCGCCCTCAGTCTCGGTTTCTCCTGTTGTACCATCTCTGTATTTGATCATTGTGTCTTCATTTCTTTTACGAACCAGATGTTAAGTACAAGTAGTCGCCCTGGAGCTAGGCCCTCGGGGTGCATGTGTCCACACTACTGTAGCCTTTCAACCCGTTATTGAACCTCTTAGCCTGTTTCCTCACCTGTAGAATGAACTCCCAGTTGCAGTAATAATCTCCTAGGGATACTGGGACCAGTAGCTGAGGTGTGTATGCCACCTGTTACATTGGGCTGTGTGACTGGCACATAGCGCTTAATAAAGTTAGCTGTTCTTAAATCGCTTATTTATTTTTTCATTAAAACACCACGTGCACCATCACCTCGGGAACCTGTTCTCAGATGAGAAACTGAGTCTCAGAGAGGGGAAATAACTTGCCCAAGGTTACACAGCTACTTCGTGGCCCAGCCAGGTCCTCAGCTCATATCCCTCTGACTCCGAAAAATGGGCTTTTCGCTTTTACACTTCCTGTCTTTCTTACATTGGTACTTTTAGACACCTGTGTACACCAGGACGTCGTTAGGTACCCGGAGATTGGGAGGAAATTCAGTAGTGAACTAGCATCCTCCTTGGATGTAATGAAGTTATTTGTGTGTTCGTATTTTCTTTTTGCATCCTCTCCAGGATGTGAGTTCTATTAAGCAGGGATTGTGGTTGTGTTATTTCCTGCTGTATCCCCCCCCCCCCGCCCCTGTCATATATTCCCAGTATCTAGAAGTGTTCTGAGCATGATTGACATTCAATACAGGCTCATTAAATATTTGGAAATCTTGTTCTCATGTTATAGAAGCAGAAATGGAGGTGTAGCGAAGTTGATGTGACTTTAAGGTTATACAAGTGTCAGCGGTGTTTAAATGAGGTTTTATTCAAGGGTCTTAGAATTTGCAAATCAGAAACACTACCCGGTAACACCCAGAGTGTTCCGAAGGAAAGAGACAAGTTGGGAATTCTAGTAAAACGTTCACTCTTGAGAAGAATCAACTGTATCTTAGCCTCTGCATTGGTCTGAGATGGTAACCCTCAAGGTGAGTGACGGCCTGTGCAATGAATGTCAGGCAGTCTGGACCATGAATATTGTTTCCAAAGTTCTTCAGGGACTTATCTATGGTATTTATGTATCTCTCCAGGTATGGATACAGAACTGAACAGTTTAAGTCCTCAGGCTAGTTCAAGTGCAGTAAAATCTCATGCTTCAGCCCACTTGGTCTGCACCAATTTGGTCAGCTGGGCTGTGCAGACTCCATTGTAAGTCAGCTTAGCTATACTGACTGCGTCTTGTTTGCTTCTCTCCTTCCTCACAACTAATAAGGAAGGGAGGTGGGGTTGGATTCGTCCTTCCTGACCTTGAAGATGAATCTCTAAGCCAGTACCCTGCTTGACCTCTTGTTTGTGCCCTTGTCAGATAGATAGTTCTTTACTTGAGCTGCCCTTACCCTTCTGGTTTGCTTTTGTTTTTGTTTTTGTTTTGTTGGCAATAAGCAGGAACGAAGCCCGGTCACACAGGGCGGGAAGCTGCAGGGGGCTCTGGCACTGCCGACCTTCGCCGGGGGGGCGGGGCGGGGGGGGCGGTGTGAGGCGCAGTCATGCCGACCATGAGCAGGGGCAGCTCTCAGATGAGTTACGTTAGACCGTTCTGCAGCGTTTCTAAATCGTTTTCCTGAGATTAGCAGATATACACTGTAAAAAACTGGACCGGTCTTGGGAATTTAAACTTACCGTTAAAAAAAAGAAGAATCTAATTCAGTCACTGGTTACGTCTTGATTGCAGGCATATCTGCCCCCGTCGTCTTCTTTGTGGATTACGCTTCCAACTGCTTGTTCATGGAAGACATTGAAGGCTCAGTGACTGTTCGAGATCACATCCAGTCCATCCTGGAGACTGAGAAAACTCCCGAAAGGCTCCTGGGCTTGGCCCGGACCATCGGGCAGGTTTTGGCTCGCATGCACGACGAGGACCTCATTCACGGCGACCTCACCACCTCCAACATGCTCCTGAGACCGCCCCCGGAGCAGCTGGACATCGTGCTCATAGACTTCGGGCTGAGTTTCATCTCGGCGCTTCCGGAAGATAAGGGGGTCGACCTCTACGTGCTGGAGAAGGCCTTCCTCAGCACCCACCCCAACACCGAGAGTGTGTTCGAGGCCTTTCTGAAGAGCTACTCCGCCTCCTCCAAAAAGGCCAAGCCAGTGCTCAAAAAGCTCGACGAAGTGCGCCTGAGAGGAAGGAAGAGGTCCATGGTCGGGTAGGAGCCTGCGCGGGGCGGCCGTGGACAGCGGGGCCTTTTGCTCCGAGGACGTTTGGAGGAACGCCGGGGGCATGGATTACACCTGAAAAAGCCAGGCTGTCTGTATGTGCTGCCTGTGGTCAGGCTCGTCGGTGTCGTCATTACCTGCGGTCGACTGTTCTCCCTGTGTCCGCCCCATGTTGTAGGCGGGACTGAGTGTACAGCGCACCAGGGATGGGCTTCTGCCGCAGGTGCACGGGTGTGACATTAAAGAACGTCGAACCACGTGATGAGAAGATTATTCTCTCGATTCCTGGTGAGACCGGAACAAAGTCTCGGGGACAGCGTGTCTTTGGCTTCTCCGTTGTGTCCCTGACACGCTTCTGAAAGCCACTGTAGAGGGAGGCACCCCGCGCTTTTAAAACGAAGTAGAGTCAGAGACTGGGAGATAACACATGTGCCTTACGTGTCGTGTGGTGAACACTGTTTTGTGAGATTTTAAACATACGTATATGCAGACCAGGGTATGTACTGGGTTTTAATGTAAAATATATCTTTGAGGTTCATGGTGGGGAAAAAGATGAAAAATACTTGACTAATTTCTCTTAAAAATCTTTTATATGACATTGTTTTTGTATTTGTAACTCCGTAATTTTATGGTTAACTCCTAATTAAGACAAGCCATTGAATACAGCTCCTTTTAGTTTATATAGGTGAAAGAGGGAATCACTTTGTGTCACAGACAGTAAGTAGACGTCAAAACTGGGGAAGTGGCTGGGAATGACCACAGCGTGGCAAAGCCTGGTGCGGGGGAAGGCGGGGGAAACCAAACTGAGCTGCCACGTGCCACTGACCGGCTCACACTCACCCTTGCCCAGCCTCGGTTGCTTGCCCCGGAGGAGGTGTGCGTGGGAGGTGTGGTGAGACCCCTTCCCCCTCGTTGGCTCCGGCTGGCGAGCGAGCGTCCCGAGGGCCGCCGTGTGCCTGGCGCCGTGGCGGGCACTGAGTGCAGTGGGAGCAAGGTGGACACGGCGCCTGCTCGCTTGGAGGGGACGTGCGGGTGGACCGAGTCCGACCTTCGTCTCCGTTTCCTTCAGCACGGCCAGCGCCCTTCCTGGGCCACCGCAGTGACCCATAGAGAGAACTAGTGCCATCATCTGGTCGCTGTGTGCCAAGCGTTTTCATCCCGGATCTGAAACAGCTCTGCACTGGGTGTCGCCCCGTTTCATACACAGATGGAGAGGTGGGCTCAGACTGCGGGCAGCTTGTCCGAGACCGCACAGGGAGCAAGGGGCGCTTTCACCTGCCTCCGAAGCCCATATTCTTTCCACTGACCCTTTAAGAAGCGACACGCTGGATACGACAGGCCTGTGTTAGGGCACGCACTGACGGTGCGGAACATTTCCCACGATGTCCAGGGGCTACGGGAGCTGGCGGTTCTTTTTCAGTGAGTGTTCTCCCCACAGCAGAGGGCTCGTTCCTCGGGGTCCTCATCTGTACCGTGCGGTGAGTTGAGGCTAACGGGGACGGGGCTGGGGAACGACTGGCCGACCCACGTGTGCGGGAGGTAAGCAGCAGATCCCTGGCACTCACTGCGTGCTGGGTGCTGGAGATGCGCAGGGAGCACGAAGGCTGCCCGCACTCTCCCGGGAAGCGTAATCTAAGCACCCACGACACGTGTGCTGTAAAGGGTGCTGAGACCCTGAGCGAGCTCGGGGGCAGGAGGGAAGGGTGGTCAGGGAAAGCCCCTGATGGAGTGCTCAGGGAGCTAAGGTGTGCAGGAACCGGGAGACAGGATGTGTGTCCCGGCAGAAGGGCGTCGTGTGCAGAGTCGGTGAGGGGGGAACATCGTCACGGGACAAGGCCAGTGTGGCTGCTTTGCAGCGAGCCGGGAGGGGGAACAGGACTGAGATCAGAGGTGGCTGAGGGCCTTGTGACAAGGTTGGGTTTTATCCTTCATGGGCCATGGAGGGTTTTGATCAGGGAGACCTGTTTTGAGAGGATTCCATTGGTAGAACAAGGACTAAAGGAGGCAAGAGTGGAAGCAGGAAATCAGTGAGGTTACGCAGCTGACCGGGCCGTGATGATGGTAGCCTGGGGGTGGAGGTGTGGGCGAGCATGCTGTAAACCATGTGACGCCCACTGGTGTGAGTGACGTGGCCGCCAGCAGCCGTGGGGAAGCAGAACTGACCTCTGCAGGCACTGAGGGGGTGGGGGGTACTGCAGACTGGAGAGACTTCACGGATGTTCCCAGGAGTGTCGTCTTTGCATACTCGGCCCACGGCCACTGATGGGCCTAAGCGGGCAGCGGAGCCCTTCCGCAGTCCAGTGTCTCACAAAGCACGGAAACACCCTCTGCAACTCCGGATCGCTCAGATCCCCGTGAGGACAGCCGGTGGCACCCATGGCTCTGTGTGAATTCCCACCTGAAACCCCCCAGGCAGGAGTGACTGTCCCCACATTATAGATGAGGAAACAGCAATGCAAAGTACCATGTCCTAATGTCACAGTATGTGGCAGAAGTGGGCTTCAAGCCCACGTTTTTAACAACAAGTGTTTGCTGAGAAATTTGAAGTACTTTATGTGCATTAACCCATTTCACAGAGGAGGCGACTAAGGCAGAGAGAAATTAAATCTTGCCCAAGGTCACCCAACTCGCGGGCGGCATAGGTGGGGACATGTGATGTGACGCTGAGATGTGTCCAACACTGAAAAGGACGTGGCCCACATCTCCTAGAATATATTTAAAAGAGCCTTGTGGGCAGTCCACGGGCCCCAGGGCGGGCTCAGCGAAGCCTGGCACAGTGAGTGCCCGCGCAGGCGTGTTCTGGTTACATCAGCTGTGCCGCGCACACTGGCATCGCGCGCTGGCTGGGGGGCGCCGGGAACCACCTACGGCAATGAGCCACGTGAGGGACAATCTGCTGTAACTGAGAAAGTCGACCCTAATCCTGATCCTGGTCCGATGACATTTTAATGACAAAAACAGGCAGCTGGCTTGTGGGCTGCAGTTTGCCAATTTGATCTTTTAAAATACTACATTAAAACATTTGTCTCGATCCCTGCGTGTGTAGGTGCCCCCCTAAGTCGTGCCCTAGTAAGAACCTCACTCGCCTGGTCCCCGTCAGCCGGCTGTCGCTGCCTGTGACCACAGGCTTTCAAGGGCCTGTCCCAAACCTATTTTGGGGGAACTGGGAATCTCCTCTCTGGTCCTGAATTCAGGGCACCGCAACTCCAAAGCGCCCGATTCCCCTTTCCCAAGCCCAGAGGAGTGGCTCTCTTTCGCCACCAGAGGTCGCAAGGTACTGTCATTCCTGGCGCAAAGCTCTAAGCCAGAACCTTCCCTCCCATTCCTCCTCCACCACTCCCTCCTCTTCCTCCATCCCTCCTCTTTCTTCCTTTTCGTCTTCTCCCGCCTCCTCCTCCTTCCCTCTCTCCTTCCCATCTCCCTCCTTTGAACTTGTTCCTGTATACCCTCCACACTGGAGCTGAGCCTCCACGTGTGGCGAGTGAGCACCGTGCTAATCACTCAGGACGTAGTGAGCAAGACGGACGTGGGGTGCCCGCTCCCCTCCCGTCTGATTTGGTCACCACTCTCGCCCCTTCACTCACGCACTCACAAGGTGGCCTTTTCCACGTGGCCAGGCTCCTCCCCCGGCGACTTGAAAGCCCTGGAGCCGTGCTGAGAATGTGCATGTCTGACAAGCCCCCAGGTGATGCTGAGGCTGCCTTCTGAGAACCACTGTCCTAAGGAGAGCCCCAAGGAAACTCAGGGAGTCTCGGGACAGGAAACGGGTGCTGGGAGGGCAGAAGCACTGGTTGTTGACTGCACCCCTTTTACGGAAGAGGAAGCTGAGGCTCAAGATGCTCAGAAGCTTGCCCAGCGTCGTCATCCTGTCAACAGTAGAGACCGTGCCAGACGTCGTTGCCTATCGAAAGCTCCACCCTCCCCTCCGTTCCTTTTGGACAGAGCCTCACTTGTTCCGGTGTTTCTTAGTGGAAAACAGCTTTATCTCAGGGAATCTCAGATGGGTCCCGGATCCAAGTGATCACGTGACCTTTATCTGGCCAATAAGACACAAGGGGGAATCTGCACACTTGCTTCTGGGGAGATACTGCTTCTTGTAGAAGATGAAAGGGGTGTGAGAATTCTCCCCATGCCTGGACTGCCACACCTGCCCATCCACAATTCCTGCCTTTAAATGCAGTGGTGATAATTGGGGATTCAGCAGCCATCTTGACACCCTGAGGCCACTTCTGCAGGTAAAGGGTCAATGAGAAGAGGACCATGGAGTAGAGAGATGGACAGAGTGTGACTCCATCCCTAGTGACATCAGCCCTCTACCCTCTTCTCGTCGTCTTACTGCATGCATAAGCAAACGTCTTTAAAGCTGCTGCTGCTGCTGCTTTAATCGGGTTTGCTGTCGTTTGAAGCCAAGAGTTCGTAATTGAAAGAGATACAGATTCCATTCCCCGGAGCCATATTTGTTCCATGGCATCTGTGCCTTCCTGGGCCAGGTCGGGGCATGTTGGGCAGTAGGGGCGTCTATCTGGATCAAAGGGAGGGAGCAATGAGAGGAGGATGCCAGAACCTTCTCTCCAGGGACCCCGAGGCAAGAACACAGGAATGAGGTTCAGCCTACTCAAGGCCTGGCCCATCTCTGCCACCTACCTCCTCTTTGAGTTTGGGAGAAATCCCAGACTTCCCTGGGCCTCAGTTCCCCCATCTGTAAGATGAAGGGCTTGATCCAGATCAGACGGGCGGCCGCACCCACAGCCACTCACAGCCAGCCCTCTGGCCGAGGCCACACAGTCAGAATTCTCTGAAGATCATGCCATCCTTCCGTTCCAAACACCCCAGTGTTTCCACCTCAGTCAAGGTCACTAGGCCCTCCTGCCCCGGCCCAGCCCTTTCTGTCCCCTGCTGGTCATTCTGAGTCAGCCGCACAGTTCTTCCCAGGCTTGCTCCCATCCCAGGGTTTTTGTGTTTGCTCTTCCCGTTGCCTGCACCGCTGTTCCCACAGGTCTTCACGTGGTTGCCTCCCGGAACATCCTGTGTGAAAGGTGACACCCCACCCCCTGCCCTCCTGCTCTGCCTCCCCAGCTTTAGCTCCGTACCTGTTCACGAGCACCTGCTGTCTTCCATGTCTCTGCGCTCAGTTGCTTCCCTCTGCTCCAGGGGCGGGGGGCCTTGCTGGGGCCACTGCCCCCGCCCTCATTTCCATAATTAGGTGCCTGGACAGTGGTGGGTAGAAGTGGGTGCTCTGCAAACACGTGTGGAATTGCAATGAACTTTCCCATACAACCCAACCTGGTCGTCGGGAAGAAAATCAGGGAGCCACGTGAGCCTGCCTTCGGCTACCACAAACACGCACACGCACACACACATGCGCACACACGCGCGCGCACACACACGCGCACACCCCACCTACCCTCCGTCTTACCCGCTGGAGGTCAAAGCCAAGTTGGTCTTGACCTGCAGCTTGGAACAAAAAACAGTCAGAACCCTGGGAGTCTGGCTCTGATCAAAGGCCTCCTCGTGTTTGTAAACCTTCGCTCTGTGCCTGGAACAGAGCGGGTAAGAGGATGGCCGGGAATCCAGAGTGAGTCGCAGTGCCAGGCCGGGGGAGTCCAGGGCCTGCCTGCCCCTCCCCCAGAGTGAGGGAAGACCCTGTAAGGCCACGCTGCGTGACCACCCCCAAGGCATCTCAAGGGGGTGCTTACCCCGAATGCTGCCTGAGGCCCACCAGCGGGGACTTGCTTCAATGGCAATATTGCTCTTGGAACTGCATAGGCCTTCACCCAATGTCACATGGAAAGATGCTGGCAGAGGTGCAGGGCTCGGTGAGCACAGTGCGTGCGTGTGTGTGTGTGGGGGGGGGGGTACTGAGAATCCTTCCTGGGAAGGGAAAGGGGAAGGGGAAAATTGGTGTCAATTCTCCCCTCATGCTCTCCCCCCCCCCCGGCCCCCGCTTCATTTTTCTTCATAGCACCAACCACCATGTGGAATGCTATGGGCTGCACTCACTTACCTTGTTAGAAAGCTACTAAAATGAAGGCTTTGTAAGAGTGGAGGCTTTTGTCTTATTGGATCACTGTGATAGGCCAGCATCCCAGGTGATGCCTGACACACAGTAGATGCTCAATTAATTTTCATTGAATGAATGGTACTCAGAATCTTAATGGATGTTCATAATAACAAGAATGATTTGAAGCGGGTTCCATTACTCAATGTTTCTTGAACCTTTACTGTGTCCCAGGCTCTGTTCCAGGCACTGGGGATGTGGCCAGAAACAATTTGGACTCCTTGTTCTCATAGGGTTTAATCCAGCGGGGAATAATTGGAAACGATGAACCATGTTGCAGAGGAAATAACTCAGGAGGATTTTGCACAGAACAAGTGAGGAAGGCTGCGTGTCATCACATTAGGTGATCATGGAGGCCCCCCCGAGGAGGTGACGTTTGAGCTGAGACCTGAGTGAGTAGGAATCAGCCACTATGATAGGAAGGTGGGGAAGGTGGGAGAAAGGGAGACCCAGGCAGAGGGAGCAGCCAATGCAAAGAACTTGGCATATTCAGCCCTGGCTGGTGTGGCTCAGTGGATTGAGTGCCAGCCTGTGAAGCAGGGGGTCCCTGGTTCAATTCCCAGTCAGGGCACATGCCTGGGTTGCGGGCCAGGTCCCCAGTAGGGGGCACTTGTTAGGCAACCACACAATGATGTTTCCCTCTTTTTTTCCCTCCCTTCCCCTCTCTAAAAATAAATAAATAAAATCTTTTTTAATTAAAAAAAAAAGAACTTGGCATGTTTCAAAGAGCATAGAAAAGGTCACAGAGAGGGCAGCAGGCAGGCCAAGGGGTCAAAGGACCAGGCAGCACCTGGTCATTTATGTAAGTGCCCAGCACAGCGCTGGTCACACAGTGAGCTCTTCATAACTGGGCCGATGCCTGCAATCGATATATAACGCATAGTGTACATAGATTGTTATTCACTCATTAAAAAGGGACTGTGGGGGGCCCTGGCTGGTGTGGCTCAGTGGGCTGAGCACTGACTGCGAACCAAAGGGTCACAGTTCGATTCCCAGTCAGGGCACATGTTTGGGTTGCAGGCCAGGTCCCCAGCAGTGGGTGCGCGAGAGGCAACCACACATTGATATTTTTCTCCCTCTCTCTCCTTTCCTTCCCCTCTCCTCTGTCTAAAAATAAATAAATAAATAAACTGTTAAAAAAATAATTAAAAAAATAAAAAAATAAATGGACTGTGGGGGGTAGCAGTGCGTATCACTGGAATTCCGGCTCTACCATGACACGCACTAGCTGTGTGACCTTGGGCAGTCATCTCAGTCTCTCTGAGCCTAAGTTGCCCCGCCTGTCCGATGGGAATATCTAGTAGGGAAAGGAAATAAATGGTAATCAAATCGTCCATTGACTGTGGAAGTTCTTTAAGAGTTCCTTCCCACACCCGACTTCCTTTTCAGTGGGAAGGGCGGAGAAACGAAGGAAGGAAGTTCGTGGGTCCAGTCCGGGGCCGCCTTCCCCCCCTGCAGGGCTCTAGGCCGTCCCACCGAAGGGCTCCTGTCTTGCGGACTCTCCTTCGCTCTTAGAAGCTCTTCCCCAGGTGAGAAAAGTAATAGTTCACTATTGCTGTGTAACGAATTGCTCTGGATTTACTGGCACCAAACAACTACTTATTACACTCATAGGTCGTGTGGCTCAGAAGTCTGGGTGGGGTGACACAGGGTTGTCTTACCTCTGATCCACTAGGGCGTCAGCTGAGGAGCTCAAAGATGGGGTGGGGTGGGGTGGGGACGGAACCCTCTGAGGGCTGATTCACTCCTCCTCCAGTTCGCCATCACCGGCTGCCTATCAGGACCCTTGGTTTCTCTCTGTTTGGTTTTTCTCCCTGGTAGAGTTTGAGTGCCAAATATGGCGGCTGCTTCAAGGGTGAGAATCTCAAGGGCGAGGGAACCAGGCAGAAGCTGCACCCTCTTGATAGCTCAGCCTTGGAACTCCAGCATCCATCCGCCGTGCTCTGTTCATCGGCTCGTCACAAGCCCCCACCCACCGTCAAGAGGTGAGACAGACCCACTCCCCACCCCCCACCCCCCACCCTGAGTGGGCAGAGTGTGAGTCCCAGGAGCACACTCGGTGCACAGCCAGGGAGGAACACTCACTGGTGTCTCCTTGGAAAGTGCGTCTGTCGCCAGCGGAACACTAACTGTTGCCCCTCGTTGAGCACCGACTATGGGCAGGTGCTGTGCTATACACGTGCCTGTTCATTCTCCGAACATCTCTGTTCCTTACACTCTATTCTCGTTCCCATTTCAGAGACGGAAATGGAGGCCCTTCGGAATCAAAACCTCTCGCCTTGGGCTGTGCAGCAACAAGTGGCACAGCCAGCACTTAAGTGTAGCTTTGTCTCCTGCGGGGTGGCTGTCGGGAGGATGAAAAGAGATCATGCATGTGAAGCGCTGGAAACCACGCCTGGCACGTAGTCAGTGCAGTATATGTCCTTGTTATTGCTAACAATGTTATTATTATTACATTTGAGCCACCGGACCAAAACCTCTGCCCTAATACTGAGTGTTATACTCTTAATCTCTTAACTGGTTCCAGAACAAGAGAGCCAGGCCAGAGGTCTCCACTCAGGGAACGGACCAGAGCTTCTATGACGCCGGCTTGAACCCTGGTCCAAGCCCCCGGGAACAGTTCTTCCGGTTTGGGGTGTCCCATCCTCCCACTCCCAGGCTTCGAATGTCCAAAGTGCTCCCCACAGGGCCTTCCCCTCCGTCCAGCGTTGTCCGATGTGAACCGACTAAAACCTTTGATGAAGCCGGTTATTGGGCCAGTTCACGGTCAGGCCCCTAGTCTGAAAGGACATGGGAGAGAGTTTCATCACAGCCTGCAGGGCCCATTGGGAAATAACTTACCCAGGGTTCCGGGAACCATGGAAACACAGTCCAGCTAGGGAGTGAGCGCCGCAGCCCTGTCTGGGGCTTGCCCTGGCCACCTCTTACTGCCCGAGTTTCAGGTCTCCGCATCCAGTTTCGGGCATTTTGCTATGACATGCGCTCTGCCTCATGAGTTACTTGATATTCTTGGAGTGGCTTCACATCATGAACTTCAGTGGGTTTAATTTAAAATGAGGACGTTAAAAAAATAAATCATGGGTTTTAATAAACAACAGAACTGACTTGTTCTAAGTCAAAAATAATTATAAGAATAAAAAAAATCAATCATTGCTGTCCAACATTGTCCAAAGCCTCCGGCTCAGGTGTTAAAGGGCCGCTGACACACAGCCGAGACCCTCTCCAGGGTGTAACAAAGAGTTAAAGGAAACTGACACAGGAGTACTTTTCACTCCGTGGGATGAAATGTCATTATTTAAATGCTGTGTGGCACAACACAAAACAGTCTGTGTTTCCTCGCTGGTATGCTTCTCACTGTGAGGAAGACTCCGCTACCTCACCACATCACAGTACCAGCTTCTTTCTCTCCTGGCCTCATCAGGCTATCGGTAAGACCTGCCGGCTCTCCTGCCAAAATATATCAAGAGTTGAATCATTTCTCACCAGATCTGCCACGACTACTCTGGTTTCAACCGTTACCATCTCAGCCCCAAGGATCTCTTAAATTAAAAGTGTATCAGCCAGTATAGCCATCCTGAGGAGCATGTACAAAACACAGCTGACGCTACGGTTAGCGGTGGAAGACCGAATGCTTTCTTCATGAGACCGCGAACCACACAAAACTGTCCATTCTCACACTCTCGCTCAGCCGCAGTGCTTGAAGTGCTAGGAAGTGCAATAAGGCAAGAAAAGTAAATAAAGGGCATACAGATCAAAAAGGAAGAAATAAAACTGTCCTTATTGTAGACGACATGGTTGTCTGGGTAGAAAGTCCCAAGGATTTGACAAAAGAAACAAACAAAAAAAAACCCTCTCCTAGAAGTAATCAATAAATTGATACAAGATAAACACACAAAATTCTGTTCTATTTTTGTATACTAGCAGTGAACATATGTGCACTGAAAAAGTAGAACAATTTATATACCTCAGAAAATGAAACACATGTAAATCTAACAAAATATATAGGAATTTTAGGCTAAAACTGAAAAATGCTGATCAAAGAAATTGAAGAATTCTAAATAAACTGAGGGGCATACCATGCTCACAGATTAGAAGAGTCGACATAGAAAAGATGTAAATTCTCTCCAAATTGATACACAAGTTTAATGTAATACTACCAAGATCCCAACAAGATTTTTTTGTAGATATAGACAAGATTATTCTAAAGATTTACGTGAAAGTTCAAAGGAAATACAAGAGCTAAAATAATTATTTTTAAAGAACAAAATGGGAGGAATCAGTCTCCTCAATTTAAAGATATCATATATCCTTACAATAATCAAGACTGTGTGGTCTATTGAAAGAGGGACAGACAATTAGATCAATGGAATAGAATAAAGATTCCAGAAATAGATCTATCACATATGCCTGATTGATTTTTGACGAAATGCAAAAGCAATTCAATGGGGTAAAAAAAAAACCTTTTTGAACAAATATGCTGTAGCTATTGGTCAATGACAGGAAAAAAGAGAAATAAGAATAAAAAAAAACCCTCACTCTAAGTCTCACCTTATGTAAAAACATATCAACTCAAATATAAAACAAAATGATAAATTATCAAACTTCTAAAAGAAGGTGAGAAAATCTTCAGGATCCAGGGCTGTGCAAAGAGTATTATACCAAAACCATGATAGAAAGAAAGAAAGAAAGAAAGGGGGGGGGAAGGAAGGAAGGAAGGAGAGAAGGAGAGAAAGAGAAAGAAAGAAAAAAGAGAAAAGGAAAAAATGGATAAACTTGATTTCACTGAAATTACAAACGTTTGCTTTGTGAAAGGCTGTTAAGAGGATGAAAAGACTGGGTGAAGATATTTGCAAACAAGATTTCTGGCAAAGGACTGCTCCCTAGAATATATAAAACATCAAAGTGCCACTCAGCATGCAACAGCGGAAGACAAACAGCCCAGTTAGAAAATGGGTCAAGGACAGGGGAGATCATTCGCCCAAGAGCATATGCAGATGGCAAAGAGGGGTACTGGAAGGCCTTAAACATCATTCGCTTGTAGGAAAACACAGATTAAAATCACAGTGCAGTGTCTGTACACCCCTCTCAGAATGGCTAAAATAAAACCACTGACATCCCTGGCTGGCATAGCTCAGTGGATTGAGTGCGGGCTGCGAACCAAAGTGTCCCAGGTTCGATTCCCAGTCAGGGTACATGCCTGGGTTGCAGGCCATACCCCCAGCAACCGCACATTGATGTTTCTCTCTTTCTTTCTCCCTCCCTTCCCTCTCTAAAAATAAATAAATAAAATATATAAAAAAAAAACACTGACAACACCAAATGCTGGCAAGGATGTGGAGAAACTGGATCCCTGATAGAAGCGTACAGCGGTGCGCACTTTGGAAAGACAGTTTGGCAGTTTCTTTAAAAACGACCATACAACCCAGCAGTTGTAGTCCTGCGCGCTCATCCAAGAGGAAGGAGAGGACTCCTGCAAGGCCGCACCTGCAGATGCCTCATGTACCCTGGGAGAAAATGAGAATAACAATATTGATGCAGGATCTTTCCCACCTGCTCGGTACAGGCACTGCACTAAGGCCCTTAAACGTATTATCTGGGTTTAACTTCCCCATATGCCAGGGACCATCACTATCAGCACTCTCACTCTGCAGGAGGAAACTGAGGCTCAGAGACCCGTTGCTCAAGCCCGCGCAGCTAGCCCGTGGCAGACAGAGCCAGGATTTGAACCCTGTTAATACTCTTGTGCTTTAGTCCTCACATTGCCATTATCGCACATTTCACGGGTGAATAAATAGCGACGAGGAAAGATTAAGCCAGTTGCCCCAGGTCACATAACTGGAAAGTCGTCAGGGCTTCAACCCGAGGCCAAAGTGCCTTCAGGGCTGGAGTCTGGTGCCTAGTTATTGTGCCCAACTCTTCTTAACTTTTCTGGCCTCTTTCACCCAGTCCCGGGGCTGGGCGTGGGGAGGGCAGGCACCACCCTTCTCCTCCCATGGTAGTAGGGAGAGATGGCCGGTCCCCAAGCGCAGTCCCCTCCCCGGCCCGCCCCCAGGCTTTATTAAAGGGGCGTGTGGTACGGCAGCCGGCAGTCCCGGGCCGGCCCGCTCCCGCGCGACTGCACAGATGGCGGCGCTGGCGGCGGTGGCCAAGAAGCTGTGGAGCCGGCGGCGGCTGCTGGTGCTGCTGGTCACGCCGCTGGCGCTGCTGCCGGTGGTCTTCGCCCTCCCGCTCAAGGTAACGCCTCCTCCGCCGGTGAGCCCCAGTCCTGCCTCCCGGGCAGCGCCGCCGGCGGGACCCTCTCTTCCTAAGCCTCCTTGAGATGAGAGTGGGGACCAATGAGGTCCTGGTCCAGGCAGGTTTCAGCAGTTCCCCCTCTACCCTCTCCTCTGCATCTGATGCTCTGAACGCCCCCACTGTTCCCACGCTTTCCCAGCTGCTTCTCCGAGCCGGAGTCCCACCCAGCTTGCCGGATCTTCTAGCTTTTTCAGGAATGATCTCTCCTTCTTGAGCTCTGACTACGTACAGTCTTGGCTGCTGTTTGTGGCCCATGTCCCTCGGTGACCGCAATAAACACTTAGTGAAGGCCAAGCTGTGTGACCTGGGGCAAGTCACTTAACCTCTCTGGGGGAAATGATAGTGCCAGCCCCTAAGGTCGCAGTGAGTATTAAATGAGGCAATAGTCATGTGCCAGGAAAGCATAACGAGGTGCTCTTTTTATTTTTGATTTCTTTTCATCGTCGGCACTAGCACAGGTGTCCCCGTTTCCCCCTTGGCCCCCCTCTGCCCTGCCCTCGACCCGCCTTCCCTCTGCCTGTGTCTGTGGGTCATGCATCCATGTCCTTTGGCGAATCCCTTCACCGTCTTTCATCCAGTGCCCCCTCCCCGCTCCCCTCCGACAGCTGTCAGTCCGTTCCGTGCTGAGCGAAACAAGCCAGTCAGAAAAACACCATATGATCTCACTTAGCTGTGGCCTCTGATGGACAAAATAAACTGAGCAACAACAGAGAAGCATCACGATGTTTTGATGGCACACACAATGGTGTCCCGTGAGATTATAACGGAGCTGAAAAATTCCCGTTGCCCAAGTGCCATGTGGCCACCCCGATGCAATGAAACCAGGGCCAAGTTCAACAAACACTTAGTAGGAACAAGGTCAGATGAGTGCCATATGTGTCGGGGTGATCACTTCGTAAGTCTAATCACCGGGTTGCACACCCGAAACAAATATGATATTGTATGTCGACTGTAGTCGAAAAATAAAAGCATTTTAAGAGAAGAAACGATGGAACGAGATGAAGCACAGAAGGCAAAGCTTAGCCCTGTGCCTCGCCCCTAGTGAGTGTCTGTTGAACTTGGCTGCGCCCATCGTGCAAGGCGCCTGGATTAAGACCCACCATTATTAGGCACTTACTGTATGCCAGGCCATGTAGCGCTGAGCTTTGCCTTACATACTTCATCTCATTGAACCTTTTTATTAAAGTTTTTTAATCGTTCAATTACAGTTGACGCACAACATTATGTTAGTTTCAGGTGTACAACCTGGTGGTCAGACATTGACGTAACTTATGAAGGGATCACCCCGATAAACCTGGTGCCCGTCCTCCCGTGTTTGTGGACACGCGGGGGGGAACAAGCCCACTGCACTGCCCGTCCTATAAAAGCACAGAACGTGCAGTTATGTGCAGTGTGTGGCACGCGACGGTACACACCTATTGGTGCTGGTTTGTGCTTTGCCGTTGTCGACGTACGAAATGTCCAGACCTGGAGAGAATGTTTGTGAGTCCATCTGAGCCGAACTGATGACAACTGCCAGGAAGCAAGACCTCAGCGGACTGAGAAAATGCTGGAGGGTGGCAGTTCCACAGTTTGTTCCATGGATTAGACTCAAAGGAGGAGGCATGGGGCAAGGGCTAGGGTGTGACAGGTGAAATTCACTGGTGGTGGATTAAGGAGGCAGGAGGGAGCAAAGCAGGGGCATCTCTGAGATCGGATAAGGATGGAGAGACTGCACTTCTACACGGGTGGGTATGGGATAGTGAACCGCCCACGTGGCCAGCACACGGCAATGGTATGTGGGGAACAGGGTATCAGGAGGGGTCCTGGGGTCCCCTGCTCCAGTGGGAGACTGTGTCCTGAGGAGTCTGGGTAAAAAGGGGTCACTCCGACATCCCGAAGGCCTGTTATTGTAGGTGCAAAAAGACAACAGACAAGGCGCCCTGGAGGTACACTCTGGGCTCCAGGCCCGCGACAAGTCTCCCTGCCCTGACTCAACGTTTCGTTAGGAAGTTTGATGTTCAGCCCATCCTGTGAGGTTACTCTCGGTCTCTGAGTTTGTCAGGCCCGCCATGCAGGCCTCCCCTGAGCTCGTGGGGTATAGGATGTGGCCCCTTTTCTGTCCACACTCTACTATACTTTTCATTGTTATTTTTGTTGTTATTTCTATGTACATAAACAAAGTAAGTGGTAAGTGGTAAGCCATGTTACGGCAGAAGGAGACTCCTACATCATGTGCATAGTCTCTTGATCATATCACATCTTCACGTGCTTGATTTAATCTCACAAGGTTTGGTACAGTAACCTGCTCCACAGGTTTGTAGCCCAGGAACAGTAGGCTGGTCGTGCAGTAGGCTGGACCAGTAGTCCCCAGCCTTTTCGGCACCAGGGACTCGTTTCATGGAGGACAATGTTTCCACGGATCGGGGTGGTAGGGGTTGGTTTGGGGATGATTCAAGAGCATTCCTTTCAAGCTCACTTCCTGTTGTGCGGTCCAGTTCCTAACAGGCATGGACCGGTACCGGTCCACGGCCCGAGGTTGGGCACCCCTGGGCTAGACCACCTCCGTTTGTATACGTGCACTGGGTGACGTCTGCAGGGCGATGAGATTGCCTGAAGATGTATTTTCTCCCGTCGTTAAGTGGCATATGGCTGTATACGTAAATCTCTTAGAACTGAGCCTGGTATGCAGTAAGTGCCTAATAATGCACTGATGGGTCTTAATGCAGGCGCCTTGCAGGATGGGGGCAGCCAAGTTTCACAAACGCTCAATAGGAGCGAGGCACAGGGCTGAGCTTTACTTTACGTGCTTCAACTCATCCCATCCTTTCTTTTATTAAAAGATATTTTTATTTTTCGGTTACAGTTGACATACAATATTATGCTAGTTTCAGGTGTACAATCCTGTGATTAGACATTCATGTAACTTATGAAGTGATCACCCCGATAAATCTAGTGCCCATCTGACACCATACAAGGTACACATTTATTACAATATTATTGACTATATTCCCTGTGCCACATCCCCATTCTGTAACTTCCAATTCATACTTCTTTGTCCCTTCACTTCTTAGTCCCTTTACCCTTCCAGTGCCCCTCACAGCGGGAGGATTATTTACCTCATTTTTCAGAGTGAGGCTCAGAGAGGTGCAGTGACTTGCCCAGAATCACACAGCAAGCCGCTGAGTGGAGGTTTGGTCCCTAGCTTGTCAGAATCCAGAGCCTGAGCTGTTTCCGGACTCTCAAAGAAAAGTCTCGAAGATCAAAGGCTGCAGGATGCTGTCAAGTGTCAAATGAAAATCACCGCCTGTGGGGGCGGGAAGGAGATGGTGCGCAGGTCTCCGTGGGCAGGTCCCTCACAGGTGCCCAGTCCCTCTGAGGCACCCTGGGAAGACACTAGGCTCATAAGACAAAGTTTCTACTTCCAGGAAGTTGCTTCCTCAGTGAGATATTAAATGTTCACAAAAGTAAAAGTAACGAGAGGGTGTCATTTAGTGCACTACCCAGCACCTGCCGGCACAGACCGGGGTAGCTGGGACAGGTGTTCAGAGAGGACTGCCTGGAGGAAGGGACCCTCCTTGGGATTAGGGAGTGAGGAGGTGATACCAGGTAGTGCCCAGGAGATCCAGAGCTACTACACAAGTGAGTCTTTTAGTGTGGAATGATCCAACTAGACTTTGCAACTAGACTCTCTGGACATGGAACAGAAGAACAATAAATTCGAATAGAATTAGGTCACATTTTCAAAAAGCATTCCATCCTAAGCTGCTCGCTGGTCTCAGGATCTTGGGCCGACCTCCTTTCTTTTAAGACTCTCACTCTCCTTGCCTATAAAGTGGGGTGATCACCATCCCTGGTGGGAGGGTGGGTGGGTTGATGGAGCTCCGGGGAAGAAGAGATGAGACACACAGGGCCTCTCTCTGCAGCAGAGGGTTCTGGAAACTTTTTCATCTGCTTTGCGCTCTAGCAAGATCTTTGAACCCAGGAGCAGGTCCAGGAGTTATGGGGCCTGAAGTCCAAAGTAGTCGAGCACTCTGTTTAAGAACAAGCATGCAGATTTACAAACGCACGGTTGAGTGTAGGGTTTGGGAAAGGGGTGTGAGGCTTCATGAGCTGCGCAGTGGATCTGCTCCCTTGTGAACCCTGGCGTGCGCGGGTAGCAGGAGTGCCCGTGACCCCCTGCGATGGTGGTGGCCTGATGAGCAAGGTGTTTCATTGGATGCTTCACTCTCACTGCTTCTGGGCACCGGGCTGAGAGCTTCACAGGCATTGCGCTCTGTGATGTCCGCATAGCCAGAGGGGCAGCTGCCATTGGCTTCCCTGTTGAGCAGGTGAGCCAATGGAAGCGCAGCAAGGTTGGGTGACTTGCCCAAGGTCACACAGCCTGTACGAGGCCAGATGCAGGGTCTGTGCTTCTAATCATTGCACTTTATACTCTCCCCTTCATTATAAACGAATGAAAACCTCTCCCGGTTCCCAACAGATCCTTGGTGGGGACCCTTTGGTGGCCCTAGATGTCACTGCCTCTTTACGTGGCTGACAAACCTGTAAGGACGGAGGTCTGGCTTCTTGGGAGATCTTGGCCTCCTTCCATCAGCATCCTTGAAGCCCCTCCTCCATATATATTTTATTTTATTTTTTAAAGATTTTGTTTATTTATTTTTAGAGATGGGAAGGGAGGGAGAAAGAGAGCGAGAAAAACATCAATGTGTGGTTGCCTCTCGCATGGCCCCCACTGGGGACCTGGCCCACAACCCAGGCATGTGTCCTGCCTGGGAATTGAACCTGCGACCCTTTGGTTCGTAGCCCAAGCTCAATCCACTGAGCTATGCCAGCCAGGGCCATACATATTTTTTAGATAGTAATAACTGACATGTTTCTCAACCTAATGCACGATGTGAATAAAAGCGTCCCGAGAGAACGTTGAACAGGGAACACTGCTGTTTGTATTGATCCGTGAC